AGCCCCGTTCCAACCGGTTCGGTTGGAACGGGGCCGGCGGCGTCCTCGTGCACGCGCGTGGTGCACGCATGCGTACTAGCATCTGCGCGATGCTCCAGCTGCTCCTGGACGATTGTGCAGGTGCTGTATGCGTCCTGCGCATGCGTGGAAGCGCAGAACTCGTCAAAACCGGGTAAGGACCACGGGCAGGCGGGCGCACCCTTCGCCGTTCCCGGAAGTTACTTACTTCCGGGTTCGGTGACCAACCGGTTCGCAGGGACCGCCGCGAACCGGTTGAAACCCACCCCTGGTTACACCTATCAAGACCAAGGTTCTGATTTTTGATTTAAGCAAAGAAGGGAATTTCTTCATTCAAATGCAAGTATATTTTTTTCATTCAATTACTGGATTGCAAAGTGAGGTCCCTTGTGAACATAAATTGAGATACTTTTTTCTTTCTTTCTTTCTAAGCATTTGGCAGCATTTCTCTTAATAAAAGACACATGGTTTCATTTTACAATAAACTTTGGGGCTAGGGAGATGGAGGATTAATAGGAAATTTGGAAGTGCAAGAGGCAACACCCATTGTAATTGGCTGCCTCAACATCGTGAAGTCATTCATTTCCTCCGAGGCCTGGCCAGGCAATGGGAAATTCGGCAGAACACGGCACAGGAAAACAAGCCAGGTATCGTAACTCTTTTGGCGATCTCTGCTTTCACCTGGGCGCTTCACCAGAACAGGAAACGAAAAACTTGTAGCTACCCCACTCACAGCCAATTACAGAAAATGAAACTGAAGAGGGCTACGGATGTACAAAGAGATGGTTGTCAAAGGATTATGCTGCCACAGAGAAGAGGAGGTCAACTTAATTTACAAAGCCACCCGAAGGCAAGGCAAGAAACAATGGGTGGAAACTAATCGAGGAAAGAAACAACTTGGAATTAAAGAGAAACTTCCTAATAGTCAGGACAATTAACCAGAGGAACAGCTTGCCTTCAGAAGTTGTAGGTGCTTCATCACTGGAGGTTTTCAAACTTAGAGTGGACAACCAGCAGGGGTCTCCAACAGTGGTAGGATTCAAAAATTTTTTACTACAGGTTCTGTGGGCGTGGCATGGCTTGGTGGGTGTGGCTTGGTGGGCATGGCAGGGAAAAGATACTGCAAAATCCCCATTCCCTCCACACTCCTGGGGGAAGGATACTGTAAAATCTCCATTCCCTTCCCACCCCACTCCAGAGCAAGGTTATTGCAAAATCCCCATTCCCTCCCCACTCCACTAACCTGCTTTCCAGATCTGTTTTCCTGTTCAGAGCAACAGAAGAAGACTCAGCTGATCAGCTGGCACTTGGGAGGCAAAGAATAGATGAGGGCGGGGCCAGCCAGAGGCGGTATTTACCGGTTCTCTGAACTACTCAAAATTTCCACTACCAGTTTGCTAGAAACGACCATAACTGGCTTAATACCACCTCTCTCCAACTTTGGGAACTTTAAGACTTGTGGACTTCAACTCCCAGAATTCCTCAGCCAGCTTTGAGGTCCCTCCCAGCTCTATGATTCTATGTTTTATGAATGAAAGATCATGACTGAAAGGTAGTTATTTTTTAATTCAAACCATGAAAGCAACACATTAATTGCCCAGTTTCGGATTCTCAGAATAGTTTAGAAATTGTTTCCAGGTGATCATCACAGCTCTCCTTTTAAAAAAAAAAGAAAGAAAAGTTTGGCCTGTCTCTCAAAGAAGTGAGAAGTTTTTCCACTCTTCCTAGACCTTGCCAAGTATGACTGAGCAATGGTGAAGGATTCTGGGAGTTGTAATTCAGCCATCAGTGGAGGACTAGATTTTTTCCCCCTACGATTCTAGAACTCCTTCAATTCAGAGCAATCCCATATTCATTCATGCATGTATTCATTTTAGTTATCTATAGCTTACTTCCCACGAAAAATGTAGGAACTCTGGGCAATTTGCATAAAATTACAATATGATTTTTAAAAGACATGTTTTAAACAAAAGAGTTATCCCAAGCCCAAATACTTGGTGGAAAAGCACACTCATCAACCGTGAGAGCTGTGGAGCCAGTCATGCTCACTCAGGAATTCTAGGACAGTGGTTCCCAAACTTGGCAACTTTAAGACTTGTGGACTTCAACTCCCAGAATTCTCCAGGAAGCTCTGCTGGCTGGAGAATTCTGGGAGTTGAAGTCCACAAGTCTTAAAGTTGCCAAGTTTGGGAACCACTGTTCTAGGACATAAAGCCCACAGGTTGTAAAGAGTCCATAGTTACCACCCGAGATACATGAATAGGTTACAAAACATAGTTCAACAGTAAACAGTGTGTCTAGCCAACAAGACTTCTCAAAACCTAAAGATCTATGATTTCAGGTTCCACCACAAAACCGTGCGTGACTAAAGCGCGGTGACAAAACCGCGCCGTCAAAACCGCGCGACAACAGCGCGCCGACAGAAGCGCGCTGTAACATAACCCTAAAAATAANTGCTAGTCATTCCCTAGAGTTGTGAATGACTAGCACATATGTGCGTGGGGAACCTTTACCTTTAAAACTATCTGGAGAACAAGGTGCTCCTGGAAAAGTGCAGGGTAGCACGTGGCAGCTGTTAGACTGAATCTGTGGAGCTGCAGTGGTTGAGCATGGTTGATATGGGTTCTGTCTTTTCTACTTATCCAGGCTTAGATGTACAGGCTGTGATTTTTGACTGCAGTGGAATATCCTTTGTGGATTCATCTGGCGCACGGCTCCTTATCCAGGTATCTAAGACAAATATGTCTGTTTGTCTCTGTATAGTGGGGAATAAGAATGGAAAAATAGTAAGGCTGGAGAAGCAGAAGAGTCAAAACCAATGAGTTTTGAGACTAAATCAAGATTAAAACTCAGAATATCTCTCCAGATGAACTTTCCTTCACTGGAGCCCGAGGGGTCTACCACACCCAGAACAGTACTTGCTGATCTTCAAAAATTAAAAGTACAGCTTATCTTGGCCTCTTCCCTTTTCAGTCTTTATATTAATTCCCTGATTGGTCTTCTGCATAACTCAGACTTCCATCCTCCATTATTGGACTCAAGAGAGCTACTCCAGCAACATTAAAATGCTGTAAGACAAAATAATCTGATCCCTAATTTCGATAACTCAAAAGTCCTAGTTTTTGCTCTAAGAGTTATGCAATAATCTTGGAGAATAGAAGGACAAAATAATCTGATCCTCCATTTCGATAACTCAAAAGCCCTAGTTTTTGCTCAAAGAGCTATGCAATCCTCTTGGAGAATAGAAGGACACAGTCTAGAACAGGTCAATGCATCCAAGTACCTTGGGGTGGTTTTCCATACAAAAGGTATTTGGAAGGCACATCTGGACTACACCATGCAATCATCCCTTAGGTTCTCAAATGCTACCAAACACTTTTTTTACACAGGCAGAGGACAATTAGTCCCCATAGCTTTAAAACCCTTTGAGGCTAAAATACTGATGAAAAATCCTTATGGGGCACAAATAGGATTTTTTTTTAAAGAAAGAGTCTTTAGAAATCATACAAACAAAATTGCTGCAATCCATTTTAGCTAGAACCTAGCAGAACATCAAATGCTCAGTTGAGATATGAGACAGGAATGCCTCAAATCCAGGTAAGGGCCAGGAAGATGATGATAGGTGACTGGTTGAAAATTCAATTCTTCCTAGAGAGCTTAACCCCTTTAGTTCTGATAGACAACTTTCCCTCTCCCTGGAAACAGGCAAATAGCATAAGCTGGCTTTCTATGGATTTTCATCTCCATCTACATGGAGGGAAGTATGCAGTGGAGTACCCCAAGACTCTGTTTTAGGCCCAGTATTCAACATCTTCATCAATGATTTGGATGATGGGGAACTCATCAAATTTGCAGATGACACCAACCTGGCAGGAATAGCCAACACTCCAGAAGACAGGCTTACGATACAGAAGGATTGTGACAAACTTGAACATTGGGCATTCTCTAACAAAATGAAATTCAATGGTGAAAAGAGTAAGGTTCTACATTTAGGCAA